CCACCGAAGCCCCGGCGGGCCCTCCCTGCGCACGTGTGGGGTGCCTCTGTAGCTGGATGTGAACTTTACCGAGCCAGCAGCGGCCCCTGAAGTGGCAGGGACACCTAGCCTGGGGCCACTCGGGTGTCCGGGGGGCAAGAGGGGCCGCTGGTGATCGGTAGGGCAGAATGTGCATCTGTAAGGGGCCAGCTACAGATCTCAACAAGTGCCCCAAACGGAGCTTTGAAGGACCCCGCGCGGTTCTGACGCCGGCCGGGCGTCCTGGCTTTATTAGCTACACATTGGGAAATGCCAAGTAGGCCCACAGAGCCTCTTTGGGACCCCCTGGCAAGTGGAGCGGGGGGGTGTCTGCCCTGCAAAGAACTGCAATGGGGTTTGGGTAGGAGTGCTTTTCAGGCTCACAATGGTGGGAAGGAAAAAAACAAATGCCAATCTTTGGGGGCAAGGGAAGGGGTACGGTAGGCCCCTCGTTCTCAGACACTTTACGGAAACCTTGCAGGCGAAAGAAAAGTTTTTTATAACTTGCGGGGCGGCTCGCTTTGGAAAGCAGCCGAGGAGAGGGTGCCCCACAGATCAGCAAGACGCTTGGCTGTGGGCTTCGCTGTGCGTCAGGTGCCACCTCGATCCCCAGGAATGAAAACGGATTTGAAAACCGGTGCCCTTGTGGGCACAAGCTCTGCTCTCCGCCGGCTCGGGCCCGGAACGGCCACGGGCGTCCCACCAACCGAGGCGGCCGCCCGCCAGGTGCTCTGAGGGTTGTGACCCTTGCTTTGGACACAGAGGCCGAGAGCTCAGAGCACTCAGGCCACATGGCGGGTTAGCCAGAGCGAGACCGCGTCCAAACCTAGTTTGTGTGGCTTCTGGGCCCTTCCTACTACGTCGCACTGCTGCCCACACAGAGCAGGGCCACGGAGGCTCCGCTTCTGACAGCTTTTTTACGAGCGCACGGTGGCAGGAGGTAGGGAAAGATGAGGCCTGCTCTCTGCACGCCTGCGGGCAGAACAAGAGATGCTTTGTGGGAGGGGCGTTCCTGCAAAGCTGCGCCGGGAGCTGGCAAGGGCTAGGGGCACAGGGCAGACGCTGGGGCAGGCGTGTTACGAGCGCCATTGAGCAAAGGCTGGTGTACAAACGGAGCCACGAGACGTCACATTGGCAGCGGCCGACTCAGCATTATGGGCAGCCCGTAGGCCGGGGGTCCTGGGAGCGAGGGGGGGCGGCCGTTGCACTTGTTGCGGGGTCAGGGGGACAGGGAGGGAGGCGCCGCAGCCTTGGGGGGGGACTCACAGGATGAAGGTGCGGGGTTTCTGGAGCCGACTGAGGGACTGGAGAAGCCTACGGGGGTCCTCACCCTGCCAGGGCAATCCTTTGATGGTCTTGATGATTTGGTCATGCAAATCGCTGAGAGTGGGGAGGGGGAGGGGCGCAGTGACAGGGAGAAGACCGAGTTAGAGCAGCAGGCCCGCCACCTTGGGGTCCCTAGCGCGGTCGGCACCCTCCCCAGGCCACTGGAGCCGAAACATGCAGCTGGCGAGTGTGTGCGCCACTGTCTCTCCATCCTGCACTGGGGGGCGGGGGGGGGGCGGGGTTTGGGCAAGAGTGGCTCCCCCTTCTCTGGGAGGGCCAGGGTCGCTCCAGGCAGAATGGGTTTTGCAACCTGGAGGCTCAGATCACTGAAAAAGGCCTCACGTAGAACAGGCTTCTGGAATCTGTGACAAGGCATCAGGGGCTACTGAAAAGAAAGGACCAGAGGGTGCCGGTGGGGGGTAGCCCCTCGGTTTTTCTTGATGATTCTGTGGCCACACGTCATCCTCCATGTCGGCTTCGAGAAAGGCCTCAGGAGGAGCGGACCAGGATTCGCACGGTGGTTCTCCACCAGCAGCTTGAGATGCTACCCTCCGGGCAAGGCATTTATGTTTTGGAGACATAAATGGTTGACATTTATGGTTGTCATGACTTGGGGTGGGGGTGGGGGGGCGGTGCTCCTGGCATCTGGCCAGGATGCTGCTCGACCCCCTCCAGTACAAGGGACGGTCCCACCACAGAGAGTGGCCCGGCCCAGTGGTGAGGGTGGGAAACCCTAGTTGAAGGAGATCTTTGCCCCAAAGAAGTCAATCTCATTCACTTCCTTTTGTTCAATTCCTGGGGGTTCAGGGCGGGGCGTATGTTCCGGGCCCACACTTCGGCACCAACGCGTGAGAACAAGAATGGATCAGAGATGAAAATCAGATGCTCTGAAAGTGAGGATTCATGAAGGATGTCTAGATGACAAATGTCCTCATGGGGTTTCTGGGAACGAGGTGCCGGTGACTGCGGGAGGAGTCGGGAGGTTCTGGTTTTGTTTTGTTTCTTTCTAAAAATTCCTCATTCCAGTTATTTCAAATACATGTTTAAGCTCTGGGCAGTTGGCCTGGAAAGACCCCGATCGGCAGTCCCCTGTCTGTGTTCCATGCACCATGCCTAGGGCCTGGACAGCCACACTTACCTCTGCTCCCTCGCCCTCCAGGGAGGCACAGAGCAAAGACAACAGAGGGGTCACATTTCACCTCCACCCCCCGAGCGGTCAGCGCAGCGCCCAGAGCTCTGGACAAGGCCTATGGCTTCAACCCGCGCTCCCCTCCCTGCTTCCCGACCCCGCTAAATCTGGCTAGAGTGCCCCCAGCAGGCCCCGGCACCCCCTAGCCTGCGGATTCCCACTCCTGGCCCTGGACGCCACGCTGAGCGCCTGGGGACGGCGGCTCCTCTGTGTGCCTTCCTGGTCTCGGGTTCGAAGGCCCTTGCTTAAGCGTTAATATCGAATCTGTGTAAACTAAACGCGTTCCTGGAGTGGGGACCCGCAGCCTAGGGGCCAGGCCCTGGGGAGACTGGCGTCACTTCAGCGAATGTGGGTCAGGGGCCACGTTCGGTCTTTGTGGTGGGGGGAAAACACACAAGCAAATAAAGAGAGGTGTTCGTTTTTCTCTTGCCCCCTTTTGAGTGAAAAAGCGGATTTAAAAATGTACCTCGTAAAATCAGGAAAAGGACACGCGGTGCTTTCAGACAAGTGACTTAGGGTCACTTGCCTCGGTAGCTAGTTCCACCTCCAACGCGTACGTTGTTATGAATCTCTTGAAGAGGTTTTTGTTGTGAAGGGCTCAAACATAAAATGATCTTTTCAAGTTTCAATATTTACTGGCCTGCTCCTTGGGTATTTGTGAGTGTTGAGAAAGAGGTTGGGAACTTGGCTGCCGCAGGGCCTTTGCATGTGCCGCCCGCACCTGCCAGCACACCCTGCCTGCCTCGTCTGGCTCAACTGGTCCCTTCTCAGTACAGCCTGCCTGGCTCTCTCGAGACACCAGAAGTGTCCCTCCCCTGGCTTTGTCATTGCCTTGGATGTCTGTCCAGTATGGCCTATTTTTTTTTTTTTTTTTTTTGTAACCCCACCTTCCTGAGAGTACTCGCTGCTCACTTCTACATTCAGTACAAACTGGGGTATGTGGGAGGCCCATGGCCACAAAATACCCTCATCGTCTTGCGTGCAATGACGCATACTGTGTTTCTGATGGCACATGAAGTAACTCGGCATATCTCTTTCAGGACACCCCGGCCAGCCTAGGGCAGGATGTGCTCTTCAATCAAGCCTGTTGCTCGGTGCAACCAGCAGCTTCTCGGCCCCACCCGCCAATGGCCATGACCGGCTGTGAAAAGAATCCTTTGTAAAGTGAGCCGTGCAACATCTCCCGAAGGCAGCTGATGCATGGAGGCCTGTCTTTCTGTGTGCAGAAAAGCGGCAACCAGATGCCATTTGTTTCTGGGTTCTTTTTGATTCACGTGGCAGTTGAGTTCCTTGTCCAGGTCAACCCCAACCTGAGTTCAGGGTGTAGGGTTTCTGGCATTGTTTGAAACAATTACTGCCACGGCATACTAGCTTCAGTTTGGACAAATCAAGGTCTCGCTCACCGGTACAGTTTTTCCGATGGGGTGCCGGGTCCTCTCTGCTGCTCTCCCAGGTGACTGTGGGTGCCGGGGCTGCCCAGACCTGCTGGGGACACAGAGCAGAGGGAGTTGGAGGCGGGGGTTGCCTGGGGACTTGAAGAAGGCCTTTGTCTCTTTCACAAAGGCTTTGATCTCAACTTAACTTGTTAAAAACAAACAAACAAAGAAAAAAACCCCCAAAACATGGGTGCCGGGCTGACTCGGTCAGTCGGGTGTGCAACTCTTGATCGTGGGGTTGTGAGTTTGAGCCCCACGCTGGGTGTAGTGATTACTTAAAAATAAAATCTTAAACCCCAAAACAAAAATAGTCCCTCAAATTTGGGCAGAGCAGGGAACTATGAAGTGTTTGATTCCTCCCCCCCTAAACAGCACTATTTAGTCCCTTTCTAAAAAAAATGTTTTTTTTACTTATTTTTGAGAGGGTGCAAGCCAGAGAGGGGGAGGGAGGGAGGGAGGGGAATAGCAATGAGCCCGACGCGGGGCTTGAACTCACGGACCGCGAGATTGTGGCCTGAGCCGAAGTCGGACGCTCGAGCCACTGAGCCACCCAGGGGCCCCTATTCCTACTTCTCATAAAGGCTCGATCCTCTCGATCCTCCTTCTAATCAAGGCCCTTTGTCAAATGGAACCCCGTGGCTGGGATCTGGGGCCGAGCTCCCTGGGGGGGCCACTCAGCTGTTGTGGGCCTTGGGTCGTCCCTACAGAAGAACAGGGACGCGACTTCCTGCCTTGAGGGGACGGGGAGAATGAATTACACACCCCGGTGCGGAATTCCTGTTTGGGACGATCCGAGCTCGGGAGCAACACGGAGGTGGGGATGGCCACACGACGCGGTGAATGTGCCAAGAGACACAGAACTGTACGTTTTAAAGTGGACTGAGGGTCCCCCTCTCGACGGTGACACGTGGGCCCCTCCTACCTGCGGCCTTCTCCGCCCTCTCGGCCCGCAGGCGCCCGGCCTCCCGGAGCACAGCCATGGCCCGGATGGCGGCCCGGAGCACAGCCCAGCGGAACACGGCCACGGGGTCCATGCCGATGAGCTCCCGCACGTAGGAGCTGTCGCTGCCCCGCAGGAGGGCCACGATGTCCGGCCGCATGTAGTCCATGTTCTTTTCCCGGAAGTCCTGGTGGGGGAAGGAGGTGGGTGGTCACTCGCCTGTGACCGCCAAGGTCCTGGGGGCCTGGTGGGGCGGGGCCCATCTCCACAACACACAGGCGGGTCCTGTCCCCAGGGCCTTTGATGGTAAGAGCCAGGGATTTGGGGCTGTGTCTGAGGGTCCTGGACCCTCGCTCCGTACAATCTGATCAAGGGGATGGACCGAGCAGACGCCAGGAGGTAAGGGGCCTCCAGGGCATCCCCCGTCCCTGTCCTGCCTCCCCGGCAGAGAAGGACCGGAGTGGTCACGGCAACAGACAGACACGTACCTTGATCTGGTATTTCACTTTCCCCGCAAAGTGCTGAATGATGAACGCCGGCTCCATGACGGGGGTGCCAAGGAAGTACCTGTTGTCTTCATGCTGCTGTTTGAACTTGGCCAGCAGCGTCTGGCTCGTGGCATGGGGAAAGCTGGGAGGAGGATTGGGAGCTTTTAGCTGCAGGAATAGCGGCGATCGCCGGCTCTGCATCTCTCACGGGCCCTCTGTGGGTGAGGCCAGGGCCCTGGTGGCCCACGGGAACATTTGGCGCAGGCAAGACTGGGACCCGGGCCTCACCACGGGCGGCTCCCAGGCATAATCCCAGGATGGCACTTCTGGTCTCAGATCTGTCTGTACCTGGATGCTGTGTTGTGGAGGGGGTCTTGCCCGCGCTCCCCTGTCATAGGGAGGGGCTGGGAGATGAGGGTGCCGCAGGGAGGGGGCAGGGAGGGCAGAATGAGGGACCTGTTGTAGCTGGCTATTTCTGCCCCCCAGGGAGGAAATGCTGCAGCTGGCTTTGACCCACCCTGCCGCTGCCCAGCCGCATCGCAAACGCAGGCTAAGCAACGTGGCTGACTCCCAGGGCCGAACTCCACGACTTAACGGGGGTGGGGTGGCGGAGGGGGAGGGTCTGCGGCTATGAAGCACACGGTTTCCAGGGCCGGTGAAAGGGTATGGAGTGAGGAACCTGCTCACCCAGGTGAAAAAACAAAAATACCAGTTTTGGGGCGCCTGGGTGGCTCAGTCGGCTAAGTGTCCGACTTCAGCTCAGGTCATGGTGTCGCGGTCCGTGAGTTCGAGCCCCGCGTCGGGCTCTGCGCTGACGGCTGGGAGCCTGGAGCTTGCTTGGGATTCTGTGTCTCCCTCTCTCTCTCTCTGCCCCTCCCCTGCTCACACTCTGTCTCTCTCAGAAATAAACATTAAAAATTAAAAAAAAAAATACCGGTTTCCTGTGCTATTTTAGAAAATCCCAATCAATGCAAAAAAAAAAAAAAATCGACGATGAATAAAAACAGCAAGATTTTAAACGAAGACAGATCGGACCCTGCTCAGCCCAGCCCTGCCTCACATCCAGATCCAGCTCTGGGTTTCCCGGGAGTGACGATTTAGCCCTTCCTAGCACCCTGCCTCTTCTTTCATCTAAACATTCTCTCCCTGGACCCCAGTTATGAACGGAGGTGTCTGTCCCCTGTCCCAGATGGGGACTTGGTCTGAGGCAGGAGGTGAGCCTGATTCAACCCAGCCCCGCAGGGGCTTCAGAAGCAGACAAGTGGTTGATAAGAAGTTGGTGACAGAAAGATGTGTCCACATCCTGACCCCTGGAGCCTGGGAAAGTGACTTTATTCAGAAACAGGGTCTTTATGAATATAATTAGTAATTCAGATGAGGTCTTTAGGGTGGTGGATTGGAATATTTATTTATTTAAAAGTTTATTTATGGGGCATCTGGGTGGCTCAGTCGGTTAAGCCTCTGACTTTGGCTCAGGTCACCATCTGGCGGTTCGTGAGTTCAAGCCCCGTGTCGGGCTCTGTGCTGACAGCTTGGAGCCTGGAGCCTGCTTCGGGTTCTGTGTCTCTGTCCCTCTCTCTCTCTGCCCCTCATCTGCTTACAATCTGTCTCTCTCTCAAAAATAAACATTAAAAAAACAGTTTATTTATTTATTTTGGGAGAGAAAGAGTAAAAGTGGGGGAGGAGTGAAATGAGAGGGAGAGAGAATCCCAAGCCGGTCCTGTGCTGTCGAGTGCAGAGTAAGAGTCGGGGCTCAAACTCACAACCCCAAACCAAGAGTCAGATGCTCCACCGAGCCCCTGGAATCTTTCTAAGAAGAGGAGACGAGACAAAGACAGAAGAGAGGGTGCCGTGACCGCAGAGGCAGAGATCGGGGTGATGCGGCCGCGAGCCAAGGAATGCCTGGGGCCCCCGGAAGCTGGGAGAGGTGAGGAAGGATCCTCCCCTAGGTCTGGAAGGAGCACAGCCCTGCCGCCACCTTGATTTCGGCCCACTGATGCTGATTTTGCACTTCTGGCCTCCGGGACTGGGAGAGAGTATGTTTCTGCTGTTTCAAGCTGCCTGCGCTTTGTGGTCATTACAGGAGCTGCAGGAAGCGAATTCAGTGAGTGAATTTTGGGGACTCCAGCTAGGTGACCAAGCGGGAGGCACTTTACAAACAAAGTTTCCAGCATTCACTGTGTCCCGTGGACGAGGGGGTGCCAGGCTTATCGGTAAATCCGGCATCTGGGCCCCGGATTCCGTGCACTGCCCTTTGCGAGGATGCATCACCCCGGAGCCCAGTTTCTAGACTCGGGCCCCAGGTCCCTTTCTTAAGAACTCCCACCAGCGGGTGTGTTTCAGAGTTCAGCCACTGCACGTGTTAACATTTCTGTGATGATTGCTACGTGCATGGATAGGTCAGGATTTGTGGTTAAGTGAGTTGGACGAACTCAGAAGTTCTCGGGGATGGTGTGGATTCAGGGTGAGGCTCCAGGGGCTCGGGAACCAGCTCTGTGCGGGCACCGGGCCGTGGACACTTACTTGCTCTCTTCGTCCAGCAGATAGAAGAGCCCAGTGGGTTTCTTGCTGATCAGATGGATGCAGCCGACGTTATCCGTATAGTCAATGTTGTGCCATGAGATCCCTTCGCTCTGGTATTCCTCCTGCGGGGTTCGGCGGTTAGCTGAGAATGTCACTATCTCATGGCTACGTGCGTGTTTACATAGTACACGTTGTACATACACATATTTACGTATGCGTGTACCTATTTACACATACACACGTAAATAACACAATACACGTTAAGATAGCAATGGAGATCTATTAGTTATTGCGAAAGCACTAGTAACAGGAAACAAGAATGCACGTGTTTAAACATCCCTCACATAAGATGCTTAAGACTGCACTTAAAACGTCCCAGGGGGTCAGTGAACTTTCTCTGTAAAGGGCCGTGGTAACGTGTTAAGCTTTATGAGCTAGACGGGGCCGGTCACGATTCTGCTGTTACAATGTCAAAGAGGCCACAGGTGATAGGTAGCCAAGTGGGTGTGGCCATGTGCCAATAAAGGTTTGTTTGCCACAATTGGCTGTGGGGCCGGATTCGACCTCTGAGTTACCATTTGCTGGCCTCTGCTGTGGAACTGCAATGTCCAATAATGCGAGTGACCTACGTTAACTTCAAATTTTCTTATCACAGTTAAAAATGTAAGGGGAGGCTGGGTGGCTCAGTCGGTTAAGTGTCCGACTTCAGCTCAGGTCATGATCTCACAGTTTGTGGGTGTGAGCCCCGCATCAGGCTCTGTGCTGACAGCTCGGAGCCTGGAGTCTGCTTCCGATTCTGTGTCTCCCTCTCTCTGCCCCTCCCTTGCTCTCTCTCTCTCTCTCTCTCTCAAAAATAAACATTAAAAAAAACAAACAAAACGTAAAAAGAAACTAGTGAAGTTAACTTTAATAATACACTTCATTTAGACTCATATATCCAAACTATGGTCCTGTCAATGTGTAAGCAATGTGAAAGATATTGATGAGGCGTTTTGTGTTTATAATCTTTTTCTTCCGCACTACGTGTTTGCAATTGGCAGTGTTTCACTCTTGCCACACGCCTCAATTTGGACCAGCCGCATTTCGAGTGCTCAACAGCCAGAAAGAAAGTGTAATAGTAAAATCAGCTAGATATTTATGTAAACCCATCATTTTTTTCCCCCCTGCCAGAATCATCAGTGTAAAGGATAAATACAATGGGTAAAGACGGCTGAGTGTTTGGTAGGGAAGAGACACGTAAGCCAGACTGACAATATTCTTGACCAAAGCAGATCCTTCCAGGGCCACTGCACTGCTCTCCCATTGAATGGATTTTCGCATCTGAGCCGAGGGATGGTGCAAAATTGCCCAATGGACAAAAATATCCCCAAGGTCTGCCTCATCCAAGGCTGGGCAGGATTTTCCCACACTTTCTCTTTTGCAGAGAAAAATCCCAGGGCTGGTTCATCCACAAACTGGGCCCCGAGGGAGATCCCGAATCTGGCTCCTTCTGTCCCTGCCTTGGGCTGCACAGGCAACAAGACGGCCTTTCCTTACCTGTTCCAGTTTGAAAATGTGCTGGTTGAAATAATACTGAAGCTGCTCGTTGGCATAGTTGATGCAGAACTGTTCAAAGCTGTTCCTCTCGAAGTCTTCAAATCCGAATATGTCGAGGACCCCGATGGACAAGCACTGGGAAGACAGAGAAAATGGTTATTGCTGGTGCATCCTCCTGTGAAGCGCCCTGTTTGGCTGCGAGGGCTCTGTGCTCGGCCGGACGCTCTGCTGTCGCTGCCTTGGAATCCGTAACATGTGCACAAGGGGCCCCATGTGTTCGTGGTGCACTGGGCCCTCTGCACTGCACCCCATCGGGTTCCTTGGGCCTGCCCCTCGGAGAAACCCGCCTCTCACCCGATACCACCCAGAGCCGCCTCGGTTCCCGACATCGCAGGCCATCTGCCGAGGATGTGCGACACTGAGCACGCGGCCTTCCCCGGCCCTGCCTGGTGGAGCAGGCAGGGGTGGGGGCCCTCACCGAGACACATTCTTCCATGTCTTTCTTGTTGAGGAGGGCGTGGTTGATCCGCAGCACGATCCAGTCGAACAGGGCGCTGTACAGGGACTTGGCCATGGAGTCGCGGGCAGTGATGGCCTGTGGGCACAAAGCAGAGAGTGTCATACCTTGATGAGGTGGGCCCCGGGCCGCACCACGCCGAAGTCTGCACTCGCTGGAAAATCCAGGATGTGACAATAAACGCCCAACTCTTCAGACACGCCTCCTCTCACTTTACACACCTCAGTCAGCGTGGACTCCCCGAGGCGAGGCGTGAAGTATGAAGCCGGCAGCCTAAGGTTTAGCAAAGGCTGTCTCTCCAGCAGCCTGGGGACTAAGGATGTGACACAGGCTCAGGGAGGGTGCCTGGCCTGCCCGTGGGGACAACCAGCCAAGAGGCCGAACTGGGCTTAAAGCCAGGTGCCCTGCGGTTCTGGGGATGCCATCGTGTGCATAAAAGCAGTAATGCCTTTTAAATTAAAAAAAAAAAAAAAAAGGGGGCGGGGCGCCCGGGTGGTTCTGTCGGTTGAGCGTCGGACTTTGGCTCAGGTCATGATCTCACAGTTCGTGAGTTCGAGCCCCGTGTCGGGCTCTGTGCTGACAGCTCGGAGCCTGGAGCCTGCTTCGGATTCTGTGTCTCCCTCTCTCTCTGCCCCATCCCCACTCATGCTCTGTCTCTCTCTGTCTTAAAAATAAGTAAAACATTAAAAAAAAAAAAAAAGGTTTATTGAGGTCTAATTTGCATACGAGAAATAAGAAATTTCTTCTCTGTATGTACTCAGATCTAAGTTGCGACAGATGTACCTGGCTGCAATTAAGATATACAACACATGGCTTTCCTGGGTGGTTGTGGAAATGGGGCCACGAGGCCCACGCCTGGCACCTTGCCCTTGGCGTTGAGCCCCTAAGGGCTAGCGGCGCCGCTGGGGTCTCGGGTGTCCTGTAGCAACTTTCACATAACATCGCAGGGTACCTTTGCCCTTGGGGGCTCAGAATGTCCATGGTGCCTGTTTAAGATGCCCACGCGGCCTCCACCACCAACTAAAAATCCCCCCAGTGGCTAGGTACTTTCCTGCAGCCATCCAAGCGGCAGGTCCCATCGCTCTTGACATGTAAAAATGCAAGAAAACCACATTGCCGGGAAGATATCTTGGCTGGGGCAAAGGCCAGAGAGAGAGGTGCCTTATCAAGATTTAGGGACCCACGTAATGGTTGTAAAAGTCATGCTCTAGCCTGGGGGGGGTCAACTATCTTAAATGCTGGCTACAAGGTCAGTAGTTTCCGATAGGAGGGCCAGACGGTCTGTGTTGTGATGGCCCAGCTCTGCCCGTGCAGTAGAAAACCAGCACCGAAACAAATGGGTGTGGCTGTGTGCCCCTGAAACTTTATTTACAAAAGTGGGCGGTGGGCTGGATTTGGCCTGCAGGCTGCAGGTGGCTGTCCTCTGCTAGTGAAAACCAGCATGGGAACACCAAGACAAATACGTGCTTCAGATTGTGTGTCTCCCTCTCTCTCTGCCCCTCCTGTGGACATGCTCTCTCTCACTCTCTTTCAAAAATAAATAAAAACATTCAAAAAAATTTTAGAGAGAGAGAAAGAAGGAGAGC